TTGATGCTCAGCTTTTCCATTTGATTCAGAGAATGACCCAGAGCCCTTCCAAGCAAACTTCTAGTCCAGCCCACGACTTGGACGACATACAATTTAATACAAGATGTGTTATTGATGACCTTCTAGGCCACCAGATGCTGTGCCAGATTCTTTCCGATGTATAAAATTTCACTTCTAACCATAAGCAGAGAACTGAGACCATCTCACTATTCCTTAGACACATCTGAGCGCTGCAGCCTCTGTCTCTGTAGCTATGCCTACTTGTTGGTGTAAAGACAGCCCAGAAGCCCTCCAAACCTAGAGTAGACTAGTTCTGAGTATTTTGCCTCATTTCCAAGCCTCTCCCCATGTGATTAAGTTTGTGTTGTCCCTGCCTGCGTAAACCTTTATCCAGGCTTCCCTGGTGCTTCAGCTGGTAAAGAATCTGCCCACAACTCAGGACATGGGGGTTGGATCCCTGGCTCCGGAAGATCTCCTGGAGGAGGAAATAGCAACCCACTCCAGTGTTCTTACCTGGAGAATCCCATGGACAGAGGAGTTTTGGCAAGCGACAGTCCATGGGGTCACAAAGAGCAGGACACGACTGAGGCAACTAACACACACACAAACTTTTCTCCAGTCTTGCATCTTCTGGCTCTAAATCTGGCCTACTTTCCATCATGCTAGGTTCCCCGTGATCAGTTGTTTCGGGGCTCGGCTTGTTACAGAATTCTTTCCGATTGTGCCCAAATCTGCCTCCTGGAAACTTACTTCACCAGTACGCCCCGTAGAGCCATGCAGAGGGCTAATCCCTCCCAGCCGGCTGGCACTTCAACTATGTGAAAACAACCCACTTGTCCCCTGCCCTGTCGATGGACAGCTACTGCCTGCCGGCTGCTATAGACAGGCTAGAAACAGTTGTCAGGCAGGGGGTTCAAACTTCTAGGCTCTTTCTTGGACCAATGGCCAAGAATTCCCAGGAGCGGAGAGTCTGTGTTCTGTAAAGACTCCAGGTAGTTCCGATGTACCCCATCCACAGTTCAGCGTTTAGGAACCTTGGACCAACTTATTCCAGTTCCAAGCAGTAGACTTCTGATTTGTTTCCTAAAGCAGCTACCAAAAAGATGGATTCTGAAAGCAGTATTAAAAAGCAACTCATAAGATGATAGAATATTTCATAGTAGGTCAAAGAGACACATACTTCTATCCGGTTTCATTTTCAGTCAAACAGCTTTTATAAGGTTTATAAAAAAAAAAAAAAGCCTAGAAGTTGACATTAAAAAATGTTGGCCAGGCTTCCTTTCCCAGATATGAGAATTAAAGTTATCCAAAACATCTTTTTTTCCCTTTGTCCTTTTCTTCATTGTAAGGCATGCAGAATAAATGTGTGTGCGTGTAAACATGCACACCCACATAGTGGTATAACTTGCAATCAGTTTTGAAGAGTTACCTGTGGAAGTGTGATGATGGCCCTCTGACTGCTGTCTCTACAAGGGGTGATGATACCTGGTTGAAAGGAGTCACCAAAGTGCAGGACGCCACAGTCAGGACTGGACCATTTGGGGAAAAAGAGAGCATTCGAACCGAATGCCAGACTTGAAAAAGACTGCAGGTCACCTCCTTCGTTTACGGGGGGAGGAGAGAAGATAGTCAGGGGAGCAGAGCATGTCTAGATGAAGATCCAAAGTGAAAAGAAATGGACTGGAGGAAAAAAAGTGACAGCAGAGAAGAGGCTTCCAAATTAGGGTAACAAATAAATAAATATAGGCTCAGATCTATTCAAACTAAATCATTCACTCAGCTCATTGGTTAAGCGTGGTGCCTCGTATATGTGAAGGACTATTTAAATTCCTATTTGCCTAAGGCTTTAGTTGACAAACCCTATCTTCTACTCTGAGCGTTTCCAGGCTACCTAATGAGCACACAATTTTCCTCTTTTTTAAATTGCCCTTTATTTCAATGAAATAAATGACAACAGCTTGCTTTTTTCTGGAAAGAGTTTTCTGACTTCTCATTCACTCCTGCCCCAGCTAACTGTACTCTTTATACGACTGTAAGCCTTTCACTCAAGCCCTTTCTTATGGATAGACATTCTCCAGTCCTCCTCTGGGCAGAGTCCTCTGTTATTTTTGGCTGCTGGAATCGGGGTCTAGGAGAGAGACCACTCCAGGCAGGACGTTTCACTCCCCCACCGGAGCTGGGCTAATGAGCATCCAGCGTGCAGGTTTGTACGAAACCCCAACTGTCCACCCTCCACTTCTCTTCAAAGTGAAACGTTAAGTCTGCATTTCAGTCCACATCACAGCCACTGGATACCATACAGAAAAGGGTCTATTCTGTTGCTGTGATTTTCTTCATCTTTTTGAAAGTGATTTCTTCTCATGTTGAAAAAATTGTATGTGTGTATGTGTGTGTGTAAGAGAAAACTGAGGAAGTCACAGAGAGAAGGAGAAAATTCTAGCAAAATAATATGTCTGGGTACTGGTGGGTAATGCTACCCTAAATAACTTGGACTTCCACTGGCTGGCTTTTGTTCATAAAATGCTGATCCACTCAGGTGCAGACCTATATAAGACATTGGGGACTCAAGGCTGTATAGAAATCTCAACTCTCTTCTGCTACATAAGGTAAAGATCTGTTTAAACTAACAGTCTGAAATCATTTTGAAGGTACTAACAAGAAGTCCTTTTCAGAACTTCTCTATTAAATACTAACATATGATATAGAGCCTACAGTGTATTGAGCTAACAATGAACACTAGGTAGATTACTGTAGTTATTTTCAAGGTTGCTTTTTGGAGGAAAAGTTAATTTTTCATGTCAACTACAATAATGGGGAAGGGAGTCATCTCATGCCACAAGGAAAATTATTACTTGTTATTGAACTGAAAACAGATCTCCTTTCCTTGCATGCAAAATGAAGAAATGTCTTTAATTTGATGCTCGGGGTCCCATGGTACTGGGAGGGTGTCTTGTAAAGAGCATTGTCTTGATTATTCTCTGGCTTTGGAGATGAGAGTAGCAGCTAATACTGTATGTGTGAGAGGCTTTGCAGAGATTACCTTGATTAATTCCTACAACCATCATCTGAGATTAGAATCACCATTATCTGCATTTTCAACAAAGATAGTACATGGCAAAGGCAACATCCAAATGTGGGGTCCGTCCCCGAGTACTGAGACCCCTGTCCTGAAGATGCCCTAGGTACTTACCAACAACCAGTCAGCTATCTTTTAGGGGAACAATTAACTTCCTGGAGTTGGGGACAAGTTGAAAAGCTGAAGCAAGTAAGTATCTGCAAGAGAAAAAAACTTCTTGAGTCGGCAAACTGGGTAAATATTTGTTTGATTCTTTATTGTTGCTGTTCAGTCCCTCAGTTGTGTCCAACTCTCTTCTACCCCATGGACTGCAGCGTGCCAGGCCTCCCTGTCCTTCACCATCTCCTGGAGCTTGCTCAAACACAAGTCCACGGAGTCGGTTGATGCCACCTAACCATCTCATCCTCTGTCGTCCCCTTCTCCTCCCGCCTTCAATCTTTCCCAGCATCAGGATCTTTTCCAATTAATCAGTTCTTTGCACCAGGTGGTCAAAGTATGGGAGCATCAGCTTCAGCATCAGTCCTTCCAATGAATATTCAGGACTGATTTCCTTTAGGATGGACTGGTTGGATCTCCTTGCAGTCCAAGGGACTCTCAAGAGTCTTCTCCAGCACCACAGTTTGAAAGGTTGATTCTAGAGCAAGTGAAAATGCTAAATTACATTCACAGCAGCCTCCATGTTTGAAGCCCTGCTGCACAGGAAGGGCACACAACCCTTCCAGGTGCAGAATAATTAGTAACCATGTGGCCAGTGTGGCTGGCTGCTGTCCGAGGCTGGCCAGAAAAAAATATGATGGGGCAACAGCGGAGTGTAAAAGCCGATAAGGAAAATGATTTACATTTTGTTTAAAAAAAAAAGTAGAAGACTAGAAAACATCCCTGTGACAACTAAGCGTTATGAGTCACTTTAGGGAAAAAATCAGCCAGAAAACCCATGGCTGAAATGAGACAACTTGGGCTGCGTCCCACCTCATGGTCAAGAATGTGGCTCCTGCAGTTGGACCTCCTGGACCGGATTCTTGGCTCTGCCTCTGGCCGGCTGCGTGATCCTGGGCTGCTTTCGAGTCTCTCTGTGCCTGAATTTCTCTCATCTGAGAAGAGGCATAATAATAGCATCTGCTTCATAGGTTTGCTGTGAGGATGAGACGAATCGATACACTAAAAGCACAAGAACAGAGCTTGGCAGCAACACGTGGAGTCCCGCAGGAATGCCACGCGTTCTTGTTTGGACGCTGAGCGATGATCCCCCCAGCTAGGTCCTTTTTTTTTTTTCCGTGAATCGGTAGGGTTTTCCTGAGCTGCTTTTCACTTATGCTCTCCTGTTTCCCACCACGGCTCTAGGAGGTAGGCAGGTATCATTATCCCTCCCTTTATGCTGATCAGGAAATGGCATGGAGGGGATTAAGTCACCAAGAGTCAAATTGAGAAGCCAACTGGCTTCCTGGCGCTCAGCCCCTAGAGCTTTCTACTGTCTTGCGCTAAAGCCTCAGATGGAAAGGGAGCAGTCTTGCCTTTGGGCCAAATGCATGATGTCATCAACCCTCGATCCACAAGATACCCTCAATCATATGTACGGCTGGGTCAGGCTTTCTTCGTCAACATGCAGTCCCCAAAGCTCTTAGAGATAGGCTTCAGACCGCAGCGAGGCAGCGCCTGTCTCGCTACCAGAGGCTGTTTCTGCCTTTCTCCAGGCACAGGAAAGTAGGGGTAATGTTTCCTGGTCTCCTTCCACTTTGCTCTGCGGCCCAGGATGGCAGCTCGGGGTGGCTGCTCTCTTCGTCCAAGGAACTAAGCTGAAAATCAGGTGTTCTTTCCGGCTCAGCAGATGCTAAGGCAATAAGCTGCACCTTGTGGAGGCTCTGGTCAATTCAGACCTGGCGGAGCGCTCGACCTGGCTGGCTATCTCCTCCCCAGCCGCCCCGTGATGGATGCGTGTCTGAGCTCCGAGCAGCAGCCCCGGCCCCTGGACGAGGCTCCGAGCCCCCCGGATGACGAGGCTCTGCACACAGATGGCACCAGCAGACCCCCAGGAGGTAACCTCCTTCCTCACCTCTCCACCCTCTCACTTCTTTTCCTGGGGATGGCATTTTCCAGTGAGCCTCAGGGGCCAGACGGTCCATTTCCTTTTAACTCTAGATCTTTTGCTGATCATGAAACGGTAGAAGAATGCCTTTATGCCAGCAGAAGCATGGCAGTAATGGTAATAGTCCCTATGTTTTTGTTATTTACCCATCCAGGCCCACAACTTTGTCTTCTCCAAATTCTAGGAGAGTCAGATTTTGGTAACAAGAAATGAAATCTAGATTCCTTCCTGATCTTGGCCAAAATGTATTCCTGGCAGCTGCAGTCTACAGTGAATCCTCACAAAGCCATTTTCCCATTAGGACAACATAAGCATTCAGGCTTGCATTTCTGGACAGTGAATCAGTAGGAAATAAGTAACAGACATAACAAATGATGTCATAAGAGCCAAGTTATAACATTCGAAACATGTACAGTCATTGATTATGGGACATTCTGTTTCAAATCTGCTAAACCAGGACGGTATTTATTTTTACTAAGTTGTTTACATAAAAATGCGACTCTGCCTATCTCCAAAAGCTGACCTCTCTAAAACTATCAGGTGAGCGTTTGTGTGTGTGTGGTGTGTGTGTGTGAGTCGCTCAGTTGTGTCAAACTTTCAACAACCCCATGGACTGAAGCCCGCCAGGCTCCTCTGTCCATGGGATTCTCCAGGCAAGAATCCTGGAGTGGGCTGCCATTCCCTTCTCCAGGGCATCTTCCTGACCCAGGGAATTGAACCCGGGTCTCCCACATTGCAGGCAGATTCTTTATGGTCTGAGGCACCAGGGAAGCTCCCACAGGTGAGCATAGGTACAATAAATGAAAATCATGTGCAGTCAACATAGATTTCTTTATCTTCGTAGCAAGGAAAGGGGTCTTAGAGGAGGATATTTTTATGCCCATGTTTCTTTACAATGTTGACCCAGAAAGGAAGACCATCAGCTTATTGTTTGTCATCCTGTGAAAGGATGAGCCATTTATAAATCAGCCCATTGGTTTTTCCTACAGTCTTGAGAGAAAAGTTAGCTTCCATGTGGTGATCTGTGAGAAGGAGAGAAGGACCGGTCCAGCCAACGTGGAGGGGCTGGAGGCTGGCAGGAAGTGCCCTGGGTCCCTGATAGTCTGCCTGCTCCAGCGACCAGAGGCTGAGATGGAAGGACGGCAGCCCAGGACTCCCTCCTCTCACCCGATGGCCTACACCAGCTCCTGCATTTTGGGAATCTTTGCAAGCTGGTTTTTAAACATGGCCACTGGTAAAATTTAAGTCATATAAACATACAACAAAATGGATTACATAAAAGGGAAAGTTATATGAAAAAACTTAGGTAATAAATACTCATGTCTCATTACGAATTATCTTCCTACATGTTACGATGATCTGTGCTCTTGAGGCTGTTGGTGGATGTCGCATCCGTGGTAGAAACGCTCATGATGCTCAGCGGTGGCGTCTCTTCCCCGGGGAAAGCCATTGGGAGCGTTGTCACCATGGTGACGACCAAACCCTACACATCAGTAGTTCCTCACAGCTCCCAGCCTGGTTGTTGGATCTTCCTGGGCACCACATGATCTGTTCCTCTGCCTTCTTGCTGCCTCTGAAACCGGAACTCAGAGTCAGCCACTCAGACTATGGGAGAAGATGGGTCCTCTCTGCTGGGTGATAAACTTGAGGTTCGTGTTGTTAGATGTCAGTAGCTTCCCTTATAAGAAGTTGGTGAGAACATAGGCCCTCCTCTCTCCCCAGGGTCTCTCCAGGGCACATCACAGGAAAAGAGGATGTCTCAGGACTGACTTGGCCACTGTGCCTCAGCAGGTTCTTGCCAGCTTCGAGAAAGTCGGGGTTTCTTGTCTTTGTGGTCTGGACAGAGAATTCTCCTTCTGGGGCTGGAATAGTCTAGATTGGAACCCATGGCCGAGAGCTGCAGGCATCATTCTGCTAATTTACAAACCGTCACTTGGCTCACACTATAATCAAAGACCATTTGAACACTTTTTTATAAAATGCAACACAAATGTTTTTCTGGAAAAACAACATGAAAAACCGTACAAAGGCATACATACCCAGTACAAGCTTCAGTTTTTCATAATCAGATTCAACAGGCATGGTCACGTTTTTGTAAATGTTTCTAAGTGCTTACTCCACATGTCTAGACTCTTCTGACTGTGACCCTCTTAGAAGGGTTTGCAGAGAAAGCTGCAACAGAGAATTGCTCTAGTGCAGCCAGAATTCAGTGAAACGTGAACTCCGAGGGGTGGACCCCCGATTTGGCTCTTTCAAAGGCCCCCTGCCCCTCACCCTGCACTCGGCCTCCTCTTCCCGCCTGAATGTATATTTCTGACTAGAGCCCTGCCCAAGCTCACTGACAGCTCCTTTCTGCTCTTCCATCTCTGGTTACCTGTCCCCAGGCACAGCTCGGGCAACAAAGACTGGTCTCATGCACGGTCCCCCCCCAGACTCCTCGCTACCAATGTCTCCCTGGGGACACCCGCAGCGCCCACATCTTCTGCGCACGAGCCCTGCGTGTGCTTAGCGTCCTCCTTCTGACCTTTTTACTCACTTCTTTCTTTCTTTTTTTAAAAAATGCTGAAACCCTCTGGGAAACCTGTGACATTCTGGGCTTCCATGATGTCGTCCCTGATCAAGTGCTCTCTTCCTCCCATCTTGTATGGTATCTGAGCGCCGCTGGCGTGGGTCATGAGTGCCAAGGAGTATTTAAAGGAAGAGTAATTTAATAGTCGGGGCTCATCTGACAGCCTCCCCCAGGGCTGTGGAGCTGGCTTGTCTTTGGGTGACCTGCACCTTTTGAGGAGCGGTGGTGGGAGGACTTAAGGAACGTGTTCCAGCCAGCATGTGGGATGTTACTTCACTTCAAGACCTAAAAATAGTCTGGTCCATGCCTGCCCGGGTCCTCCTTATTGCAGACGGCTCAGTCTTGCCATTCTGCTTGGTAGTGTAGCTTCCACCTCTTGCCAAAACAGAGCGAGGGGCGGATCCACACCGCTCTCTGTCCAAAATCGAGGGAGGGGCCCAGGGCATCCGCTAGCATTGTGTCATCTGATAAAATTCCCCATCCTAGTCGCCCCATGATATTCTGTCTGAGTTAATTTGTGGCCATTGTCACCGATAACATTACTCTCTCTGTTTCTAGAAGATGGCTCAATCGCTTCCCATTTGACTAATTGTACCATTAATTAGTGTATTTGCACTGGACCCACAAATCATGGGGGGCTTTCCTTGTGGCTCAGCTGATAAATAATCCACCTGCAATGTGGGAGACCTGGGTTTGATCCCTAGGTTGGGAAGATCCCCTGGAGAAGGGAAAGGCTACCCACTCCAGTATTCTGGCCTGGAGAATTCCATGGACTGTATAGTCCATGGGGTCACAGAGAGTCGGACACAACTGAGCGACTTTCACTTTTGCAAATCATAAAACCTGTTATTTTTGGTCCCACAGATTTTAACGAGATAGAAGCATCGCTTCGAAGCCTCCAGAAATTTGTTCCTACGAATTATACCAGCTACACCCAGGAGTATTATCAGTTTGTGGGCAAGAAGATTGTCATTCAAGAATCCATCGAGAGTTACGGAGCAGTGGTGTGGCCGGGGGTGAGGGAGCCGTGACATGAGGGCGTCAGGGTTTCTGGGGATGGGAACAGCACTTTTGTACAACTGTGTTGCCTTGGGCGCCCAGTCGGGGCTTAACATCTGTGCGTCTCAGATGGAGGGTCCCCGGATGCCCCAGGGGTGTTGCTCGTGTGCTTAGAAGCTGCAAGAACACATCCTCTCTCCTAGAAACCATTTCTGCCACGCTGTGTTTCTTGAAACCCTCTTTTTTAACATTAACATAAACTTGAGCATATTGGGAAGTAGGATGAAAAATTCATATGAATTGTTAAGAAAGAAAATCAGAAGAAAAGTCTTTAGGGTTTAGATTTTGCGGTGGGCAAAATCTCTGGGCCAGGTCTAACAATCTTCAGGGGGTCCCTCGCCTTTTACAGTGTGGCTGAAAGTGAACATGTTAGTAGCTCAGTCGTGTCGGGACTCTGTGACCCCGTGGACTGTAGCCCGCCAGGCTCCTCCGTCCATGGGGTTCTCCAGGCAAGACCACTGGAGTGGTTGCATTTCCTTCTCCAGGGGATCTTCCTGACCCAGGAATTAAACTGGGCTCTCTTGCGTTGCAGGTGGATTCTTTACCGTCTGAGCCGACAGGGAAGCCCCGGGGAGGTGGAGGAGGGTTTGCTAAAAGGTGTAGCTGCTCCTTCGGGAGACCCGTCCCCAGGTGGCACCCACCAGGCCAGCTTCTCACAGGGCACGCCCCACAGGAAGGCCGCCTCCGCCACCGCTCCGAAGCCCTCAAATCACACATGAGCCTTGGTGGCCCTGATGAAGCTCTTCCGAATGCTGAAACCCCCACTCTGCACAATGATCCTTTCTCAAGATCCAAAGGATGCCTCTCCTCAAAACGTCAGTCCCCAGCCATGAGCTCTTGCCATGGGTTGGATGCTGGAGCCACCTCGCACCTGTGCCTCAGTTTCCATCCCCCCACTCCCGGCCGCGCCCTCCAAGTCCCTTGAGAGGAGCTGAGGATGAAATGGACAGACCCACGGCCTTGGGTCTGCCACCCACCCTGGGGCAGGCCACCGTGAGTGTGGCCAGCGTGTCTCACCTGATGCTGGAGGCCCCCCATCCCTGCCACTCCAGCCTCGGCCCCAGATAGAAAGTGAGTCACGACGAGCCCCGAGCATCTGTTGGAAGGCGAGGGCTAAAGGTGTGTGCACACTTGACTTTCACGGTGGTTCTTCAGCTTAGGACTCACGTTCCCAACCCGGGTCACGCCCTCACACTCACTCCCCCAGTCTCTGTGGCCCCCGGCATCACTAGCTGAACCCCGTGTTGGTTCACACAAAACACCTCCTGCACCCGCACACACCGAATTCCCCTCATCTCCTCACAGACAGGGTAGGCGGTGGGCAGAAAGCAGTGAAGAAAGAAGGAAAGGGACCTTTGGTTTTCTGTCTAAAGTGGATCTAAATGTATTCACCTGGGTTTTTTATTTTTGGGTTTGTTTTTGTCTTGGCTGTGCAAAGTATGCGATTTATTGGCTACCACCCAAAGCGTGGTCCATGGGCTGGCTGATTAGAAAGGCAGACTTGTTAAGAGTTGCAGTGCTGAGCCCCACCAGACCTACTGCACGTGGCAGGGCGCCTTTAACCAGGCTCCCCAGTGATCCGAGCGTGCACTAGAGTCTGGGAAGCGCTGTCCTACCAGAGTGTCTCTTAGATGAGTTACTTAAAATAAAAATGACTGCCCCGCTGTCCAGTGTATCAGGCAAGGTCCGGGGGGGGGTGGGGAAAGGAGGGCAGCCTGCTGGCTGATGGGCTCAGGAGGGAGGTGTTGGAGAGTTTAGAGCCCAGCGGTCTTCCAGCAGGTGGAGAACTGATGCAACTTGCCCAGGGCGAGGGGCTGCTGTCCTGCGGTCCCTCGACTCCTGTTTCTGGAAGACCTGAGCTGTTCTTCCTCCTGGGGGCTGATCAAGAGTCTTCGGATACTGGCCCTTTAGCAAGTCGGTGTCTCGAGTTCCTTTGATGCAAGTTTTCACAGGTCAAAACCCGCCATGGCACGTGTGCTTTGATTCCTATGGACCCCTCAGAAAGCTGAAACTGTGTACATGTCTTCTAGTAGTTCACTGGTGGTGGGGACTGGGGTCTGGTTTTCAGCATCCAGTGACAAGTGTGAATGTTTTCCAGGCCATGGTGTTGTGCCAGTATTTGGAGGAACACACAGAGGAACTCAATCTTCGAGGTGCTAAGATACTGGAAATCGGTGCTGGACCAGGCCTCGTTTCCATTGTGGCCAGTATTCTAGGTGTGTCTGTCTATTCCCAACCTTGTTTCAAAAGATGCTTACCAGGACAACAGTAATAATACATGCTAACTGCATGATGGGCTGTGGTTTAGGTGCTTGGCTGTGATTGCCCTCACTGAGTTCGTGCAAATGTCCAGGCCAGAATGACTCCTGTTATCCCCGAGATAAAATAATTGCATCTTAGGGATGCTAACATCCAACCATTGCTTAGCATGTGAGAAAGCTGACATTTGGAGGGGTGACTCTCGAGTTGTAAACAGGTTGTAAACAGCTATGTTATGCTGTGTCCTGCTTTTCATTGCAACTACCATAACTAAGGTTTTGAAAAAAAAAAGGTCAGTGAGTCCAAGATGAAGACAGATTTATATCCCAAATGCCAGCTGTGCATCCTGAACTCTGCACAAGAAGTGGGTGTGTCTGGTCTACTTCTGCTTACGCGGTTACACATCTATCAAAATCCGTCTGGAAATATGGCGATCTACTTTGTGACCACTGATCACTTGCTTTAAGATGCTTTAAAAATTAATTTAATGCATTTAATAGGGGGGAGAATCATACAAAATAGATCATCCCCTATGGAAAGGTGCTGATACTCTCCAGAAGAGAAAACCAAAATCTTCAGATAAACACAGTTTCAGAAGGAAAACACCATGCATTATTATAGTAAAATCAAAGTGTTAGTTGCTTAGTCGTGACTCTTTGTGACACCACGGACTATAGCCCACCAGGCCCCTCCGTCCATGGGATTCTCCAGGCAAGAATACTGGAGTGGGTTGCTCCGCCCTCCTCCAGGGGATCTTCCTGACCCAGGGATTAAGTTCTCCTGCATTGCAGGCAGATTCTTTACCCTCTGAGTCACCAGGGAAGCCCAAAACCTTGGTTTGTTCATTATTCTGAAATCTCCCAAAACTATACCACTGTTTTAGTTTAAATTTTTTATTTTGTTGGAGTATTATTAACAATGTTGTGATATTTTCAGGTATACAGCAAAATGATTCAGTTATACGTATACAGTATCTATCCTTCAGATTTGTTTCCCATTTAGATTACTGCACAGTATTGAGCAGAGTTCCCCTGTGCCATGGTTTCAGTTTCTTAAAAGATGGAAACGTTATTCTATTTCAGTGGTTCTCAACCAGAGGTCGTGTCTGACCCATGAAGGACATTTGGCAATGTCAGGGGACATTTCTGAGCATCATGCCTTGGGGGTTGGGTGCGGAGGTGCTATTTGCATCTCGTGATGGGGACCAGGGATGCTGCTGAACATCTTACAGGGCACAGCGTGGGGTCTACCCCACCAGAAAGGATCCAGCCTGGATGTCCACAGGGTCAAGGTGGGAAACCCAGCTCCATTTTCCCCGAGAGTATGTGTCCACTGGGCTGCCCAGGTGTTTCCAGGTACTTAAGACAGGTTTTCTTTCTCTCTTTAGGGGCTCAAGTCACGGCGACAGATCTGCCTGATGTGCTGGGGAACCTACAATATAATCTCCTAAAGAACACACTCAACTGTACCACGTATCTGCCGGAAGTGAAGGAGCTGGTGTGGGGGGAGGGCCTGGAGCAGAGCTTCCCCAAGTCCATGCTTTCCTACGATTATGTGCTGGCCTCCGACGTGGTCTACCACCATTACTTTCTGGACAAGCTGCTTGCCACCATGGCATACCTCTGCCAGCCAGGAACGGTGCTGCTCTGGGCCAACAAGTTCAGATTCAGCACTGACTATGAATTTTTAGATAAATTCAAGCAAGTTTTTGACACGACACTCTTGGCTGAATCTCAAGAGTCATCAATCAAACTCTTTAAAGGAATACTAAAATGGGACTGAACGAAACAAAATGCCTTTCAAAACATTAGTGGGTCTGCTGAACAGTGTTAGAAATTTTATAAGATGGTGAAGGTAGTGCATAGAATCCATGTATCTACCTAGAATAAACCTGATTATTATGGCAACTCCCTAAAATAACCTATTTAGGATTATCTAGTTAATCTAAATATACACAGGAATAGCATGAGAACATGAAAGTAGCTTTGTTGGCTTCCTAGAGTTCTCAGGTAAGTTTAATAAATTTTACACGAACACATTAACAAGTGGGTGTCCCCTTGTTATTTCTGCTGGAGAGCATGGTCTTAAACTTGTCAATATACTTTCATCATGTGCTTTTTTAAACTGAGCTCAGCAGTGTCCATGTATTTTATTTCAAAGACTCTACTTAATACAGATTTTAGCTGTAGCAAAAGGAGAGGGTATAGAGTAATAGAAAAGTTATAGGCTTAACTTAGCAACTTTGGAAAACTCAGCAGTGGCCACAGAACTGGAAAAGGTCAGTTTTCATTCCAATCCCAAAGAAAGACAATGCCAAAGATTGTTCAAACTACTGCACAATTGCCCTCATCTCACACACTAGCAAAGTAATGCTCAAAGTTCTCCAAGCCAGGCTTCAACAGTATGTGAACTGTGAAATTCCAGATGTTCAAGCTGGATTTAGAAAAGGCAGAGGAACCAGAGATCAAATTGCCAACATTCATTGGATCATCAAAAAAGCAAGAGAGTTCCAGAAAAACATCTACTTCTGTTTTATTAATTATGCAAAGCCTTTGACTGTGTGGATCACAACAAACTGGAAAATTCTTAAAAGAGATGAGAATACCAGACCATCTTACCTGCCTCTTGAGAAATCTGTATGCAGGTCAAGAAATCTTGTATGCAAGAGTTAGATCTGGATGTGGAACAGCAGACTGGTTCCAAACAGGGAAAGGAATACATTAAGCTGTATATTGTCACCCTGCTTATTTAACTTATATGCAGAGTACATCATGAGAAACGCTGGGCTGGAGGAAGCACAAGCTGGAATCAAGATTGCTGGGAGAAATATCCATAACCTCAGATATGTGGATGATACTACCCTTATATAAGGCAGAAAGCCAAGAGGAACTCAAGAGCTTCTTGATGAAAGTGAAGGAGGAGAGTGAAAAAGTTGGCTTAAAACTCAACATTCAGAAAACTAAGATCATAGCATCCAGTCCCATCTCTTCATGGCATAGATGGGGAAACGATGGAAACAGTGACAGACTTTATTTTTTTGGGCTCCAAAATCACTGCAGATGGTGATTGCAGCCATGGAATTAAAAGACTCTTGCTCCTGGAAGAAAATCTATGACCGACCTAGACAACATATTAAAAAGCGAAGACATTACTTTGTCGACAAAGGACCATCTAGTCAAAGCTATGGTTTTTCCAGTAGTCATGTATGGATGTGAGAGCTGGAATATAAAGCTGAGCACTGAAGAACTGATGCTTTTGAACTGTGGTGTTGGAGAAGACTCTTGAGAGTCCCTTGGATTGCAAAGAGATCAACCAGTCCATCCTAAAGGAGATCAGTCCTGGGTGTTCATTGGAAGGACTGCTGCTGAAGCTGAAACTCCAATACTTTGGCCGCTTGATTTGAAGAACTGACTCATTGGAAAAGACCCTGATGCTTGGAAGGATTGAAAGCAGGAAGAGAAGGGGACAACACAGGATGAGGTGGTTGGATGGCATCACCGACTTGATGGACATGAGTCTGAGTAAGCTCCAGGAGTTGGTGATGGACAGGGAAGCCTGGCGTGCTGCAGTCCATGGGGTCGCAAAAAGTTGGACATGACCGAGCAACTGAACTGAACTGACTGATAGGCTTAACAGTGGCTGAAATGGAAAAATACACAAAACGGTGCTGGGATGAGGAAATGGGTGTTTTCTAAGGGCCTGGAAGTAGTGCTCAGCACACCGTGTACCAGCCCCGAGTGCTTCTTTCAGAAGGTGTTTATCCACATCCAGCTCTTTCCACTGTTTACAATGGCGTGGTGCGGACACTGGCCACCAGCACCTCAGAGAGGAAAACGGTCTCAATTTGTAACAGCACTATTTTGCTAGTGTGATCATTTGAATCAACCATCAGCTGCTTTGCAGTATTTCTCTATGGGCTTATTAAGAGATGATAGACCCTGTATGCTGTTGGCTTGTAACTTAATTCTCATAACGAACCTTTCTTAAGTAAATTATTGGCAAAAAAGTCTCTGAAACTGAAACAACCAGCAAACAATTTGCTGAAACAATTTATCTCCTCAGGAGATAAGTTATCCTTAACAAAATTTCGGTCAGAATCATGATCATCACTAGACTTGTTTTGTCCATTTCTGAACTTTATATAGATGAAATCTAACTGTGTGTATTTTTATGATATGCTTCTCCACTGAACACTGTATTTATGAGACTTATCATGTGTTAACCTGTAAAGCATTTTTTGAGGCTGATGTACATTTTCCAAATTAATTTAGTAATTCCCCATCTTTTTTAAGTCATGTTTTTTTTGAAGTAAATATGTATACAAAATAAATGTACACACCATTAAATTACCATTTTAGGAATTCCCTGGTGGTCTGGTGGTTAGAACGCTGCACTTTCACTGATGAGGGTGTGGGTTTGATCCCTGGTCAGGGTCTAAGATCTCAATAAGCCATGTGGCATGATAAAAAAAAAAAAAAATTTTCCTGTGATAACCACAATGGAAAAGACTATAAAGAATGTATGTATGTGTGTAACTGAACTTCAATAAAAATTTTTAGGAAGGTTATCACTTTACCTCACGTATCAATCTCATAGAAATGTAGTAGTTTTGCCAAGGATACCTTCTCCCGGGACACATTTGGGTCTGGCTGTCAGCATGGAGGCACTGGGCGATCTCGACAGAAAGGGGGGCCAACAATGCAGCTTCATATCACTGCCCGCGGATAAAACTGAGGGACTGGTCTTCCTAGGATAAACAGTTCACAGCAGGTCCTGCCAGCCTGTGGACTTATCTCTAACTTCTACAGCGAACTTAAATTATCTGAGAATGACTTATATCTCATTGAAAGAGTAATATTTGGATACAAAAGTCCTTGGTACAACAGAGAGCCAGACGTGACTCTTATTTAAAAAAAAAATTCATCTGTGTATGAATTTTGTGGTGTATCATACATTCATGCTGTATCATACATTCTATTAAGAAGCGCTGTCATTCACCACCTCTCTCTGCAGACTGGTACCCCACCTGATTGCCCCTCACCACGTCAGGACCATGAGAGCACCAGAGGACCAGGCTCCTGTGGACCGGGCCTGTCATGAAGGCCCGGCGGCTCACTGCACTTGGAACTCCACTCTTTCTTTAAAGAGTGCATCCAAAACCCACCATGGGCTTAATTTTTCCTTCCACATTAAAAAATATAGCACAAAGCCCAAAACCCGAATAATAAAGTGAGAAATCAGGGAACTCTCTAACAATGGTGATTTTACATAAAAAATATTTGAAGGATTCTAGGATTCACTATATCCTGACACAACTCAGAAGGTAGTACTTCAAAATAAGTCTATTACTAGGAAGTTTCTACTCTTAAAATTATATTAAAATTGGATACTAAAGTCATGTTCTTGAAAAAAAAAAAAAGGTGTGATTTCAATGAAACAGTATAACTTCTATCAGTGAAAGGGTACCTTTGAAAATTATCTCCTCCATTAAGTTATGAGAAAACTGACAAAAATTCTCAGAAGCAACTTTTTCAAAACTCAATCATTTCTCAGAAAACACCATGTACAAGGCCACCTTGTACAGGACTCAGCTCTCTCACAGACCAAGAAGCCTTTTCCGGGGGCTGTTTGTTGAGATAGTTACAAGCAACTGTGTAATTCTGTGGCTGCCTGAGATGACGGACAACTGCTGGGACCAGTTCAAAAGCTTAAAGGTAAATGAGATGCTCAGAGGGACTCTGAAAGCTGTTATATTCCTGGATGTCAGCCACACATGTTGCAGGGCTGAATGCATCCTCACGAAGACCCGAGCAATACCCATGGCTGAGCCTGAGGCTGTGTGTGGCAGGAAGCTCTTTCGGAGGAAACAGCAGATTTGTAAAACACTTCCTCTAGTTAGCAGTCAGCCAGCAGCATGACCTTGGGGAGTCATCTACCCCTTCTGAACTTCTCAGTTTCCTGACTGGATTGAACCTGTGTATGGGGGGGCCTGGATATGTTTAGGTGAAAGTGTGTGTGTGTGAGAAAACATGAATGTGGATATTCATGGATGAACTTTAGATGAACCAAGATGGCTCAGAAACTACAAAATGTCTGCATGCATATTTGCACTTTTTCATCAAGGGTCTAATGTTTTCATCAGATAGAGGAGTCAATTACTCAAAAAACCGTTACAAATGATTAATAAGACCAGATCTCTGGTAGGCCTTTTACAGTAGTGAAATCTAAGGAAAGAAGATTTAGAAGCCACGTACACACATACACACACAATCACGCATGAGCACACACACACGTACTTGCTATAAGTGAGTAGAGGCCTTTTAATATTGTCTCTGTGTGTTTATTTCACAGAAGAAAGATGAAAGGATAGTAGCCAGAAAGATAAAAATAATAAAATTAAACATACACAAGTTAATCACATAAAAGATTTGGAAATATATTCAAATAATTGCAAGCCTATAATAAACATTATAAATTAAATTACTTCATATTGAATTTTTTATCTGTAGGTTTAATATATTATTTCTGTTCTAACCCCAAATTTTATTCATGAAAAATTAAGACCAACTTTAAGAAGCTTCAATATTCACTTTTATTATTTATAAAAAAAATTAAGGTATCAGAGTGCATATGGTGTACTGCGATCTTGGTTTTGCACATTTATTCACGTTGTTTACATTATTTCAACTGTAATAAACAAACCATATGGGTATCTTTACAATACCTGATACAGATTTAAGCTGTCTGGCACTTATACATGTATGATTAGTTCATTCTGATGC